CACTTTCCGGCTCTCCGGGTGCCTTATTCATCACGTCTTCAGGGTGCATGAGTCCGTCGGCAGGATGCACCTGACGGACTTATTTAGGGACACTGAAAATGCCCTGACAATGCTTCGGCGATTGTGTGCTCTGCCGCGCTTGCCAGCCGAACAAATAGGGGAGGGCTACACGGCTGTGTGGCATGAGTTCCGGCGCCGTGAGCCGCAGCTGTACGCAGCGGTGTACCCGTTCCTCATGTACTACCATGAACAGTGGCTCAGCATTGTGCGCCCAAGCAGGCTCAGCGTGTACAAGCAATACCACGCCACGACCAACCACGTTGAGACCAATCATCGGCACTTCAAGCGTTTCCTGCAGACACCTGTGCCAAATTCATGGGACGTCATAGGTATGCTTTATTTCAGCAAAGAGAAGTAACGCAGGGGACGGGAGGTGTCACGGTAAAAATAGTTTCTTGTATTACAAGACCTAGTCTTGGATGCCATTGGCGTTCTCCATAAGATCCAAGACCGGGTCTTGTAATACAAGAAACTTTTTTCACCGTGTACTGTAGTACGTATACACTGTAAATCAGAGTGTGATACCGACTACACGTTTTCTGTGATACAGAAATATTGCACGATGTGATGATCATCGCAGGAAAAGTACAACATTAAATTCATTGCTTGTATTTGTGATGACCATCACTCATTTGAGCACTACTTTTACACTGTAAAAAATTTCGTCGTAAATTTACAAAATTTTTGTAAACTCGAATTATAATTTAAGTTGTACATTTACGAGAGCACATTTTTTACTCGCCAACGGAATTGAAGTCGATACGTACTGCATGTAATTTTACAATTACAAATTGTAATTTTACAACTTGCGTCAAGGAACATTTTCCTGTAAACCTACCTACTATTGTTCACAGTGTATGTATCACAGGTTTGTGCGATGTGCATTCACACCGTTTTGTAGGAAATCCGGAATCATCGCATTATTTTGAAATAGGCATCACAAAAAAATTGTGATCAAAATTGATCACTTCCCCAGGGATAATAAATCGTGGGAATCACACGGGGCGTTTTATCACACGAAAATTTGTGAAAAGTATCACACTTCGAATTACAGTGTAGCGTACACTAGAAAAGCATTCACTTCG